AAAAACACAAAAATACTAGTTTAGACATTGAGCTGCATTTAATTAAAAATTACGTGAATTTTGAAATTTTTTTTAAAGTTGTTTCCCATTCTCTAATGAAATCTCAACTGTAATTTTCAAAATGAGGTAGTCTTGCCACTTTGTACATATAGTTCTGAAAAAGTAGATTGTGAGCTTGAATAATTAACACGTTCACTTTAAAATTCCTTGGTGAGATTTGAGCCTCATGCACAACAATTCTTGTTGTGTGAAATTAATCTCATATTTTGCTGCACCTCTAGAACTTGCATTATTTCTTGATTAAATATGTAATTTACAAATCTCACATGTATAATGGAAGCCTTCTTTGATCATGCTTAGTTAGCCTAAATGAACCTCCTTTATGTGAGAATCCTAGTTCACCCCTTTTGTGCCTTTAACCTTTTCTTTGATAAAACTTCAATATAAGCCTTACTGATAAAACTATTACCCCTATCCTCAAATTAGAAAGAGACAATTTGAGTTTAATCAAAGATAATTTTTAAAACTAAGTTTGGGGTGGCATTTTATAAATATTGCTTGAGGACAAGCAAAGTTCTAAGTTTGAGGTGGAGAACAGCAGCATAATCTGAGTTATTTGAAAAGAAAAATGAAAAGCAATGTGTTAAAAAGTGTGAAAAACATAAAAGAATTGAAAAAGAATTATGTACATGAATGATGCATGGATAGTACTTTAAATGCTATAAAAAATCTGAAATTCTGTGCAGATTTGAATAAATGAGAAAAAGAATGCAATCTCAATTTAAGTTTTGATTTTCATCTACTTGAATTGCATCTTTTCTATTTGGAAATAACCACATTGTTTCCCTAATTGATTGAACACCTAACTGTCCGTTAACCTCAATTGTACCTGAAAAAGTCCTCTTGATATGAGATTTGTTGTATAATTGTAGAGGAGATTGAGAATATTTGCAAGCCTATGGTAGAGTGTGGTAAAAATGATGATTTTTTAGAGCAAACATTGAGCCTAAACATTGCTGAGTGATAAGGGAAACAATACTTGTGAGCTGTGAATCATGTTTCTTAATTTTGCTCACATGAACCTTTGCTGAACTATATTAACTTAGATGACAACCTCTTATTATAATGAGATTAATTCAGTGTGATGTTCACAATGAATGAGTAGAAAAATAGCTTGATTGAGAATGAGAAATCAGAAAAACACAGAATTGAAAATTTGAAAAATCTTTAAGAAAGGCAACTTGCTGATTGAATTTTGAGAAGTGGATGAACTTTCCTTTTGAGTTTATTTGATTTGCTTGAGGACAAGCAAAATTTGAAGTTTGGGGTGGTGATAAATTCACATTTTACTATATTTTTAGTATAATTTTTGTTAATAAATAAGTAGTAAAGTACCAAATAAAATTAGAAATACCATAAAAATTGCATTAATATCAATAATTGTGTAAATAGTTTAGAATTTTATATTTTATTACAACTCTAAACAATTTGACTTAAAAAGATTTAATTTTTGTGCAGAAGCTTGAGCTGAGAATTTGAAGTTGATATTGAAATGGAAAAAGTAAAAGGAGTAAGCCTAAAAGAGCAAGAATCAAATGATAAGTATTGGGCATAACCACTTTGAGTGTATAGAGCTAACACTTTGAAAAAGAACATCCCTAAAGACCAAGTGAGTAACAACCCTAAGTGCTGAAAGTGAACACTCCAGCAACATAAATCTTAAAGAACCTTGCGCGTGTACACTCTAATTGCTGAGAGTAGCTACACAAAGTGTGCATGTCCACTCTATGCACTGAGTAGCTACGCAAAGTGTGTGTGTCTACTCTATACGCTGAGAATAGCTACGCGTGACGCTTTTCCATATAGAACTCGTGCACGTGGACACTCTTACTACTTAAAGTGTCCATGCAAAATAACAGAATTTTGAAAATCACTTCTAAGTGTCGACTTTGGATGATTTACGTTCCTATTTCGGTTGTAGAAGCTTCTAGAAGACGTTTCATGATATAATCCTCAGAGATTAAAGTGTGGAAGGGGAAAAGGCAAGAAAAACATTATAAATAGAAGTTAAGAGTTCAGATTTAAGGACTTTTGATCATTTTGTCATTTTTTTTCACTGTGTAACTGTTTTAACTTTCAAGGGAAGTCAGAGAGAGGGATTGGGAGCAACTTTCAAGCTTCGTTGCTAGAGGAATTAGGGTGAAGATTGGGTCTTGGAAGATGTTCTTTTGCTACTTGTCTTCTTCTTCTCTTACTTCTCCTTCTTCCATTATAATGTTGTTCTAAACCTTTTTGGTTAAGGATCTATGGATCCAGATTTGATATTGTGATGTAATTTTGGATTTGGATCTTAAGATTTTAATTGAATTGAGTATGTGATTCTGTTCTTAATACGGTTGTGAACTAATCCTTCATTCAATTAAACTTAGAGGAACTTCATCAATGGAAATTGACTTTATTTCTCAGATCTAAATCATATGCCTAGGTAATTTAGATCTTAGGACTAAGTATCATAATTTAGTAATCCTATAATTTCCAGAACTTAATGCAATATTTGATTGAATTTCACCTAAGGAATTAGGGAAGTTTAATTAGGTATTAAGATCAATGAGGTAAGTAATTGTCCTTTGGTTAAAGAAGTGAAATTGATTATCAATCAATTAAAATTCTAAAGAGTCTAGAACATGATTATATTGCAATTGAAAATCTGAATAAGTGATTCCTAACTATTTTCCACATAGCTTTTTCAATATAAAATTTATATTCTGTTTTACAGCATTTTATTACCTTTTATTGTTCTTATTTCTCATCTTTTTACATGTTACAAATCTTCCAAATGAATTGTGTGGCTCAACTAATTGTCAAATTATGAAGTGGTAATTGAAAATAAGATCCTTGTGAATGATACCTGGGACTCATATTGATTTTCAAAATTTTATTCCTTGCGACAACTACCTAGTACACTTGCTAGTTAGTAATTTTACGCGAAGAATATTGCTATATTTTGATCTTACGTAACATCAACTTTGGATAATTTGAGTTCCTATTTCAGCCATAGAAGCTTCTAGAAGGCCTTCCATGTTTAAATTCTCAGTGATTAAAGTGGAAAAGTGGAAAAAGGCGGGAAATATTATAAATAATAGTTAAGAGTTCAGATTAAGGAACTTTTGATCATTTTGTCATTTTTTGCTTTCCAACTGTTTTAACTTCTAGAGGAAGTCAAAGAGAAGGATTGGGAGCAACTTTCAAGCTTCTTTGCTAGAGAAATAAGGGTGAAGATTGGGTCTTGGAAGATGTTCTTCTGCTCCTTCTCTTACTTTTCCTTCTTCCATTGTAATGTTGTTCTAAACTTTTTTTGTTAGGGATCCATGGATCAAGATTTGACATTGTGATGTAATTTTGGATTTGGACCTTGAGGTTTTAATTGATTTGAGTATGTGATTCTGTTCTTAATGCAATTGTGAACTAATCATTCATTCAATTGAAGTTAAAAAAGTCTTCATCAATGAAAATTGAGTTTATTTCTCATATCTAAATTATATACCTAGGTTATTGAGGCCTTAGGAATAAGTGATCATAATCTAGTAATCCTATAGTTTTCAGAACTTAATGCAATATTTGATTGAATTTTACCTAAGGAATTAGGGAGGTTTAATTAGGTATTAGAATCAATGAGGCAAGGAATTGTCCTTTAGTTAAGGAAGTGAAATTAATTATTAATCAATTAGAATTCTTAAGAGTCCAGAACATTATTACATTGCAATAGAAAATTTGATGATGTGATTCCTAACTATTTTTCACATAGTATTTTAAATACAAAATTCGTATTCTATTTTTTACAGCATATTTATTACCTTTTATTGTTTTTATCTCTTATTTTTACATGTTACAAATCTTCCAAATCAATTGTGTGGCTCAAATAATTATTGAATTGTGAAGTGGTGATTGAAAATAAGATCCTTGTGGATGATACTGGGGACTCATATTGATTTCCAAAATTTTATTACTTGATACAACTACCTAGTACACTTGCTAGTTAGTGATTTTACACAAAGCACATACCGTTGTATTATGAAGTGTAACAAGTTTTTGGCGCTGTTGCCGGGGATCTTTATTTTTCAATATCATTAGTAGTGAGGAGAGAATTAGATTAAGCTGTTTATTTTCTATTTTTCTTTAATTCTATTTTTATATACTTGAAATTCGTAACACTTTTTGATAATTTTCTTAACAATGTTGCTGTCCAGTTTTGTATAAACTTTGTGGAATTTAACTTTATGTTTAGTTTAGATGTTTACAAATTGATTTTCATTCTTGATTCATTGTAGAATATTTTGTTAGTAATCTTCTACCTTATATTGTCCTATATTTTGATCAATTTCAAGTATTTTTGTTTGTGTTTAGTTTTCTTGTCTTTTAAGCGTGGGAAAAATAAAAGTAAGATTGTTTTTGTATTTGATTCGGATATAGACAGAATATTAAAAAGGTTGAGAAACGAATTAAGAGTAGAAAATTTAGCAAGTAAAGAGCAAGAATTAGAATCTACACCTTCTACTCCTAAATCAGAAGAACTTCAAATTGCTTCTCCTACACCACCAACACCTCAAAAGAAGATAATGGCTGAACAGAACAGGCTGAGAACTTTAGGAGATTATACAGTGTCTAACATACAAGGATACAACTCATCTATAGTCAGACTTATCATACAAGCCAATCATTTTGAAATAAAACAAGCTCTACTTCATTTAGTTTAGCAAGATCAATTTTTTTGTTCAATTTCAGATGACCCTAACTTACATATCTCTAACTTTTTGCAGCTTTGTGACACAATAAGGATGAATGGAGTCAGCGAGGATGCAACTAGATTGAGATTATTTCCATTTTTCTTAAGGGATAAAGCAAAGTGTTGGTTGCAAGCTCAACCATAAGGAAACATAAATAATTGGGCAAACCTTATTAACAAATTTCTTGTCAAATATTTTTCACTATCTAAGGCTACCAAATTAAGAGGAGAGATCACACCATTTGTGCAGCAAAAAAGGGAATCATTATATGAGGCTTGGGAGAGATATAAAGAACTTTTGAGGAAGTGTCCACACCATTGCATACCAGAATGGATGCAGCTAGAAACTTTCTATAATGGAATGAGTCTAGCTACTCGAACCATGATTGATGCAGCTGCAGGAGGATCATTAAATACAAAATCATTGGAGGAAGCTCAGCAGATTATACAGATAATGGCTTCATCTATGTATCAAAATTCTAATGCAAGACACTCTATAAGGAGTGGAGGATATGAGGCTAAAATTCTTGAGACTTTCCTTGCACAGAACCAACTGCAAAACCAAATGTTTTTGGAGCAAATTGTTGCACTAACTCAGCAAATAAGCAATCTTCAAGCAGGGCCAATTTAGAATATCCAGCTTACTTGTGATTTTTGTGGAGGAAACCATGTCAATGGTGCATGTGATGCACCAACAACTGAACCTTAAGATCAAATTAATTATATGAAAAATTTTCAGAGACAACAACTTTCATTCCCACTTGGTTTTCAGTATCCTAATAGTAGAAATTAGCAGTATTATAATTAGAATTCTCAAAATTTTGCTGCAAAGAATTCTAACTCTGCTATGGCTTTTCTGGTGCAGGTCTAGGAGCACAATAACCTTATTTTCAAGGGAATCGAGCCACTTAACCTCAAAGAAATAAAAAGTTTTCTAAGCATATAACTGAAAGATTGAGTGAAATGGAGGAAACCATGCTGCAATTTATGAAAGTGACCCAAACAAGCTTCAAGAATCAAGAATCTTCCATGAAAAAGCTTGAGACTCAAATAGGACAGTTGCCTGAATAATTGTCCAACAGAGATGAAGGGAGATTCCCTAGCAGTATGGTCATCAATCCAAAGAAGCAATGTCAAGCTGTAATGACTAAGAGTGGGGCTGTTGTAGGGATCCCAAACCTGTCGGAAAAAGAGAAAAAAATTGTGATTTGGATGAAAGGAAATTCACCTTACTGAAGAGAGAAAATATAGAAAACAATGTTTCGTTCATAGAATCAATACTTTGAAGAAGAAAATCCATGAAGATCAAGTACGTAACAACTCTAAGTACTGAAAGTGACACTCCAACAACAGAGTTCATGAAGGGCTTGCGCGTTATCACTCTGACTACTGAGAGTGGCTACGCCCAAGGCTAATTTGCCCAGGAACCATGCGTGTTATCACTCTCGCCACTGAGAGTAGCCACACACAGCTGCGCGTTAACACTCTAACTACTGAGAGTAGCCATGCACAAGGCAAAAGTTCAAAAAACACATGCGCGTTAACACTCTGTCCACTGAAAGTGTTTACGCAAAATAACAGAATTTTGGAAACTACTTTTAAGTGTCAACTTTGGACGATTTGAGTTCCTACTTCAGCCATAGAAGCTTCTAGAAGACCTTCCACATTTAAATTCTCAGTGATTAAAGTGTAAAAGTACGAAAAGGCAGGAAATATTCTAAATAGTAGTTAAGAGTTCAGATTAAGGGACTTGTGTATCATTTTGTCATTTTTTACTTCCCAACTGTTTTAACTTCCAAGGGAAGTTAGAGAGAGGGATTGGGAGCGATTTTTAAGCTTCATTGCTAGAGGAATCAAGGTGAGGATTAGGTCTTAGAAGATGTTCTTCTGCTCTTTGTCTTCTTCTTCTCTTACTTTTCCTTCTTCTATTGTAATGTTGTTTTAACCCTTTTTGGCTAGGGATTCATGGATCCAGATTTGATATTATGATGTAATTTTGGATTTGGACCTTGAGGTTTTAATTGAATTGAGTATGTGATTCTGTTCTTCATGCAATTGTGAACTAATCATTCATTCAATTGAAGTTAGAGGAGTCTTCATCAATGGAAATTGAGTTTATTTCTCATATCTGAATTATATACCTAGGTTATTGAGGCCTTAGGAATAAGTGATCATAATCTAGTAATCCTATAATTTTCAGAACTTAATGCATTATTTGATTGAATTTCACATAAGGAATTAGGGAGGTTTAATTAGGTATTAGAATCAATGAGGCAGGAATTATCCTTTGGTTAAGGAAGTGATATTGATTTTCAATCAATTAGAATTCTTAAGAGTCCAAAACATTATTACATTGCAATAGAAAATTTGGTGAAGTGATTCCTAACTATTTTCCACATAATATTTTAAATACAAAATTTGTATTCTATTTTTTACAGCATATTTGTTACCTTTTATTGTTTTTATCTCTTATTTTTACATGTTACAAATCTTCCAAATGAATTACGTGGCTCAAATAATTGTTGAATTAAGAAGTGGTAAGTGAAAAAAAGATCCTTGTGAATGATACTTGGGACTCATATTAATTTCTAAATTTTTTTTACTTGCTACAACTACCTAGTACACTTGCTAGTTAGTGATTTTACACAAAGCATATTGTTGTATTCTGAAGTGTAACAAGGAGCTATTCTGACGAGTGTGGTGGCATAAGTTTCCTTTATCATTGCCGATATGATGGGAGGAGCTACTCTTATCCGTTCTTGTAAATCACCAAAATCAACACCTGCATCTTCACAGAGTAAACTGGTTAGTGATGGAAAACACCAAATAATCTTTTTTCCTCTTTTGAATCTCTAGAATGCAGCTATTGATAACTTCCTCACATCAATGAACATGTCATTGCAAATAGAAGTTCAACTTTCTAACAACTAATATAGAGCTGTGTTTTATTGGCATGAATAAGCTCAAGATGAAGATACTCCAAATTTTTGCAAAAGTGAGGAGATTCCTGGTGGTGATGTTCTTGGATTCATCTTTTGAATTCATATCCTATGTAGTGCCTGGCCTCCCACTTCTATTTAGGATTTTTGTGTAATCCTTGTCCTTATTATTCCTGAATGTAGTGAACTCCAACTGCCCATGTTCTCTCTCAACATTTATGTTGAGAACCTTTTTGATGTTGGCAGTAGAAAAATCCACATCTACTCCTTTGACCATGGTGTGGAAACGAGGTAGCTGATTCCCTTAATTACATAGTACATTTGCATAAAATTCTTAGGTGATTGTCTTACACCCTCTGCCAGCACATGAGCTAAAAAATTCCAATCCTTTCTTTTGAATTTGCTCCACAAACTCTAGATTATGTCTTTTTACTATTTCAAAATTTTTGTCTTAGACTATCTTTCATCTTAAGATGTTAGCTCTAAAGTAGTTTTCATGAGCATTACTCCTAAATCTAGGATCAAGCTTAGTTACTGGGCTTGAAGAAGAGGCTGCTGCTGCAATTCTGCCCTAGGAGTTCTTTTTGGAGTGCTTGCCATTTGATTAGTTCTGAAATAGAATCTAGTGTATAAATTCATTATTTTCATGCCTTGTTAATGCTACATTAAGAATTAAACAAATAAACTAATGTTCTGTTAACTTAGAATACGTTTATTTAACTTAGAATACAGTAGTTCAATGTTTAAAGGAAGCATATGCATCATGTATCAAAACAAGCTTAACTTTTCAATTCAATACAATGCATGAATTGTGAAGGCCTAATTTAGCAATTTTGTTTATGAAAATTTATCAGTACACAAGCTTAACTCAACTGAGACAATTTATCAGTAATAAAGCATGCTCTCAATATGCAAAAACATATCACATGGTATTACTATAACATCAAATTTCAGCAAACATACAATGGGATAAAATGTTAAGGAATTTGTAGCTTTCATTCTCAGCACAATGACTAATATAATGCAGCATAAATCCTATTAGAAATTTTAGAGAAAAGTGCTCATGCATGCAAAATTAGTTCAAAGAAGCACTCCTACAAATATCCCAATGTAGCTCTGAATTGCAGTAAAAAAATGGTAAAATCATGCATGCAATCACCCACATTGTTTCTCAATTACATTCTTAAGTCAACAATGTTAGAAGACAATCATCGATTTCCATATTCAAATTTTCCCTAATTTTTATCCTTGAAGAACCCTAATCAGAAATTACAGAAATTAAGAAAGAATTAATTGGAATTTGAGTGCAGAAAATACGTAATCTTGCTTGCAATGAACAAAATTCCACTTAATTACAATTTAGAAAGCAAGAAATTATCATAAAGAAATTTTTAAGATGAAAAGAGGAAGAGAAATATGAGTTTTAAGGTTGAATATGCTCTGCGTGGTTACTTTATGGGCTTTATATATCCACCAGAAGCACGTGACTAATATGTACAAGAAAAATGAACACTACAGAAAGGGTTTAGAAAGGCTAGAATGCACGTGGTCACTATTTTTGTAAAAAGTGAACACTACAGAAAGGATTTAGAGAAACTGAAAATGTGCATGTTCACTTTTTTTGGAGAAAAAGTTAACACTATAGAAAAGGTTTAGAGAGGTTAAGATGTGCATTGTCACGACCCCTTTTATAAGGAACCGAGAACATTGTTTCTACATCACAAACTTATTTAAAATAAATAAAGTATAGAGAATATAAGTATGAAATTCTCTTCTCATTCAAAATAAAACAGAGTTTCTTACAACAAATATCCAACAGAACAACATAATATTACATTTAGTTCATAATATTCAAAATACCCAAAATTATACTACGTAGCTCCCTCTACATGATGTCTCAAAATATAAGGAAAAAGGACTTTGATGCAATATTACTCGACCCCAACTTCAATCATTTCTTCACTGGCCCCTCAGCCTGTGAAGTAGATGCAACACCTGCTACATCTGCTCACGTACCACCGTACGATCATCGCAGTACACACGCACACAACGACATAGAAAGAAATGCAAGGGTGAGCTTACCAAACTTCAAATAAAATCATATATATATAGCAAAATATTTCTCACAGCAATAATCCCATGCATTTCCAGCCCATCTAATGCATAGCATGAAAACGGTTTCCAACTGGTTTCACAGCCTAAGTAATCCAGAAGGAACCGAGCCGGTCCGGGAGCGACCCATTCCGGTATCTGGATCCAAACAGCACAGCACAGCAGCTCAGCATGAACTTACCGTTACACTTCTACCCACCTAAACATGTAACTCGGCTCTATAATGATGCAAAACATATCTTAGCATGATGCACACCGCCAAAATTATTTTAA